TTAACATCAGTAAAGCCTGGCAAGTTCGAAAATGCATCAGATGGCGTTGACAATATTGTTAGGGGAAAAATGACCCAAAGTTTTTTCACGGTAAGGGTTGTGAAAACAGGTGACCAGCTGAAAAAGGATACGGGTAGATTTTTGTAGTAGCCGGGCAGTCACGGAATGGCCAAGCTTGCTAACTTTTATAATGCAAGAAGCATAGATCAAACTAGCGTGAGCGTATTAAGAAAGGATGGCTGTCATATCTGCTGATTCGCCAATCTGAGGTATCTGCTGCTGACCCACTCTAGTGCCTAGTGTCGGAGAGAAAAGACTCACGGAAGGGAGCACAACAGCTATATTCCAACAAGCGGGTGCGAGAGCGTGCATGCGCGTGAATGCGAATGTACAACGGCCTCAAGGTATTTATTGGATGGACACTGTCTGAACCCGGTTCAACGCTGATGCACACGGTCTGGTTGCGACGTGCTGCACATTGCGGGGGCGTTGTCTGACCTTGATCAACGCTGACTCGCGCTCCCTGGGTTTGATAGAAGGCTGTGACGCGCTGCATGTTGGGGGGGGGCGTTGTCTGTCTGGTCAACATCTAGTGGGGCTGAGTCTCGGTAGACTTCGGGCATTCGGTGGTTGCTTTCAGGAAGCTGACCTTCCTGATAATGGCTAACACACTGAGAGTAATGATGACCGAAATTCTAGCATCCTGGACTAGTTTGTTTGAAAGCTACTACGCTGGCGTGACAGCATCATATTTTAGCAGGATAAGAAGAATGTGAGAGAAGAGATAACTAGTCCCGGTAGCAATTCTGTCAGCTTCCACGAACAAGTGGGGCATGGCGGAAAAGCTCAGGGAATCCAAGCTTAAATGCTAGTAGTGGAGGACTAGGAGTTTCTTTATACAGTTTTGTATGTGAATACTTCTGTGATCACCGGAGAGGAGAGCGTGTGTTGTGCTTGGTTACTGAATTGCACTTTGGCGCGTTGCAACCTCAAGTAAGAAGAAAGTAGTCGCAGCTTCAACTGCCGTTCCCACTCCAGTTCCTAGTGCCGGAAAAAGAGTCACCAATAAGGACCACAGCAGGCGTACTGCGAACGGGCGAGCGCATGCGAGTGCGACACATATAGGGGACCCTCACGCTGTTTGAAATTTGTTTTCATTGGTGCAGCCTGTCGCTGAATGGAACGAATGCTCCACTGGCCTGGATGCTTGACGGCTTTCTTATGGAGATTTTGGTGGAGTTTTAGGGACTCATCAGGTCTCGAGCGTTTTGGGTTTCACGAATCTGGCTTTCCTTATAGCATGTCGCGTGTCATGCCCGTCACAGAGTGCCTCCAGGCCATCCCCTGAACTTTTTTATTTTTACCAAACGGAGTTATTTGTCATTCTCTGTAGTTTTTGGCGTTGCAAGAAGAATGACATAAGAGGGTAAAGTTCAACCCGGAATCCATAAACAGACAAAGGTGCTCTCTTGTTGTTTTCAAATGAAGTTTAGGCTCAGAAGCAACGGCAATTTGCGTAGCGTGGGAGGGCTTGTAAGTGTACGAGCGCTGTGCGGTGCTTAGCTATGGGGCGGCCTATCCTATAGGATGTACCCAACCACCATAAAAGGTTTTCATCCGAATCTGCTAGGAAGTCGCGATTGAAGCTTGTGCAATAACAAAGGACTCCAGCTGTCGGATATTTAATACGGTGGGAGGAAAGACAGTCAAGTGAAACACCCTGTTCATTTCGAACAAGCAAACAACCACCAAAAACAAGTTGAAGAGAAGGCAAATGAAAAGTCATTTATCGCTGACTTTTGGTTTTTGGTGTGCGCTCTGGTTGAAAGATGAAGAAGCGTTGGTCTGAGCCACTAAAACAAGCAGAGGTACACCGAAGTGTTAGTTGTGCGTCTGACCGGTTGAGGAGCCATTCAAGTGTTTCGCCTGTCACACTCCATCGAACAGGTCTTTGTGGGCATTTGGTGCGCTCTAAGGAATGAGGAAATCAGACTTCGGTTTGGTTTTTTTGGTTAGAGCTAGGTGAAAAGAAGCACGAGTGATTGACAGGGCTGACAGAGTAATCCAGGGCAGGGACATAGCCAGATGGAACGAGGCATATGTTGCCTGGGGGCAGCCCGGTCGGTGATGCACCACACCCAGATCAATCGGGCACTGTGGCTAACCGCTGCCCGAAGAAAGTAATAGATGGCAAGATACAATAGTGGATAGTCGTTTTTGAACAAACTGCACCAGGAGCGCTTTGGAACCGATCCGCAGAAGAAATTGTGGTAGTTGTGCGTTTATTGTGGCGACAGTGGCTCCACAAACAAGAAGTTTACCTGTGGAATGTGAGCAAGTGCAGTGTGTTATTTAAAGGCTGTTCGGGAAGATCGATCCCGATGCGAACCTAGTACACTGTGAAGAAGTAGTGCCGTGGGTTTGTACGAGCTGGGGCACAGTAAGATGCTGGTGAAATTACGGGATTTATGGCGAGGACGCCGATTAATGTTTGGTCAAGCTTGTCCTATAGAGACACCTTGATTCTCTTGAAAGTCAGATCTGGCTTGAAGAGTCCGAGGCAGTGTGGCTCTAAACAAAATATTATGCAACGGGGACGGTAGGAAAAGACACTAAATTGTGCAAATGACTTTTTGGTGAATAAGTATGGAGCGTTATTAAGTGGTAATCTGCTACCTTGGATGTAAGGGGGAGAAAATACATGACATACATTTATGGTCAGTCGCATGCGTCGCTCGTACATTTCGACCTTGCGTTTCGAGGGCGAAAGAGGTGCGGTATTGGAAAGTAGAGCACACGTACTCTAGATGGTTGGAACAGATAAACGCATGTGAATATACGAGATCGAGATTTTCGATGCCTGTAAAATGCGGGACAGGGTTGCCGCTAGTTGTGAACAAAGCATCCGGGAGGAAGCAGCGGCAGGAGGTTATTTGGATCGTAGCAGCACAGATGCTTTGGCAAGAGGCATATGGCAACTCTCTCTGATTGTGGTGTAGCCCAAAAGTTGCTCGCAAACGGTGAAATTAATATATCGCATTGCCATCGCGAGAGAGCAGACTAGGCAAACATGCGATATTTCACCATGGGCAGCCAAGCACTCGCTGGATCTTTCTCAATGATTTTGAAGTCCATTCTGGCAGCATACTTGAGGGGTCGGTGTGATCGTCCTGGTAGGTTTACACCGTAGAACTCTGCTTCAGTCTACCACAAAACTTGACCCAAAGACATGAGTCATCGTTATCTACAAGCCTTACGTTCTTCAAATCTCGTACGATTTATCCGAAAATAATGCGTGTTTACCGCGATGATAACTCAGAATAGCAATTATTGAGGTCCCAGAACAAAGAAATCGTTATTCGTCTGTTGAAGAAGGATATACGTATCCAAATTCGTTGACAGGTTTGGTACTTCCACATATTTTACCTCTACAAGCACAATTTAGAATCTAGAGAGCTGGTGAACTAGTTCAGCACAGAATTAACAACTTTCATGTATTAGTAACGATTGATTGACATTTCACCCTAGTACATTGGCACCAATTCACAAATTTGTAGTGATTTATAGCCTTGAAGTTTTGCCCACTTAAGCGAATCATCCTTGCATATACTTTGCAGAGAATTTCTCTGGATATGGATGTTCTTCACCATGAAAATTTGAGAAGTTTAAAACTTCATAGTTTGCGAGAATTCAGTTCCAGTTTGCAAACACCGAGCTACCTGTTTTAGGACCATTTCTGTTCCTGGTTTAATGACCTTCCAGATGGTCTCCCAAGTCCGTGTCTGGTTTTCGCGGATGACTTTAAATCCTGGAGTTTAGAATGCTTACGCTCACCACATGGATGCTTAAGCCTCAAAACTGCGGTGATCGAGCTGGCACGTTCACATGAATCACGAAGAGTGCACTCATATGTCATTCGGGAGAGACTCAACGAAACAGTCTGTCGTGCATGGTGAAAGTGGACCAGAAAACCTTACGAGGATAGATACCAAAAATGGATTTAGTTATCTGTCTCTCTTGAAATATGTCCCTCTCATGGCATCATGAAATGTCGGCTGAAAAAGGCACTTGTCGTTTTACGGGTGATTCGGAAAACCATCCCCAGGATTAGTCGCATGGACTTACGGATATCCCATGAGGCCTACGTTCGACTGATTCTTGGGGATGTAATACCCACTTGTGTCTTACTTGATCAAGGTTTGGTTTTTGCTGTTAACCCACATAATACTCGGCGGGGACACAGTAAGATTTTCAAGCTCAGAGCCCACACTTTTATTAGGCAACATTGTTCTCGTTTCGGGTAGTTGGTTGTTCATGCTGCATCTAGTACTCAGTACGAAGCACTCTTAGACGTTCTTTTATTTGAATCGTCACGCTGGCAAGACTGCTGCCCTGCGCTGAGAACTTAAAAATTGGTGCTACAACTTTCAGGTGGACATAAGCCGATAAACGATAAGACCAAACCCAACCTGCGAAGCCTGAGCGATAGCCTCATCATGTGCATCAAACAATTTTACGGGTGATCCGACGCACCTTCCCCCGTATTACTCGCATGAACTTCCAAATACTCTATGGGGCCTACATCAGACCGCTCCTGGAGTACGCCAACCAAGTTGTCTACTCAGGACGTACGAAAGACGTCACCCTCATTGAGCGTGTCCAGCGGGCCGCCACTAGAATGGTTGCCGGCCTCAAATCCGTGGACTACGAAACGCGTCCCGCGATGCTTGATTTCTTTCCCCTGGAGTACCGTCACCTCCGAGTGGACCTAATTCTTACTTACGCCCTGTTTGAACAGAGCTTGGCAAACAGGTTTTTTACCGTTGACCCAGCAAACACCCGGCGAGGACATAGTAAGAAAATTTTCAAGCTCAGGGCACACACATTCATTAGACAAAACTTTTTTCATTTCGGGTAGTAGCTCCGTGGAATGACCTTCCTCCGACGGTTGTACACGCTCCTTCTAGAACCCAATTTAAAGCACTATTAGACATTTGTTTATGCGAATCCCCGCGCTGGTAAGCACACTGCCCGGCGCTGACAACATAAAGAGCAGTGCTACACCCTTTTTTCACTTGTGCTTCCAGGTGAATGATAGCCACTGACCGACAAGAACAAAACCGACCCGGGAAACTTGGGCAAAAGCCTCGATCCTGTGTATCAATCCGTGAATCCGTGAAAGCATGAATCTATGAGTTCATGCAGTGTTTGGGCACCATTTGCAACCGAAGATGTGACCTGAAGCTGAAGCTAAACTGAAAGGATACACTTCTGTCTTTAAAGCAATGCGTTGATCCCTTGCATTGTTCTCTGCAAGCAGTGAGTCTTGCCGTCTGACCCAGTCACCCGCTTCCTGGTCTAATCGTGTCCTGACCAATGAGCGTCCTGTGCTTGCAGCAGCCAGCACGTCTATTCACGGGTCGAAGGCTGCCTGCGGAATTAGCTGAGAATGGATGCAGATTCTTCTGAGGTTTCAGGTGTGATGTATTCTTGGATCTTAGAAATTATCCTTTAGATGTTTTGGATGCTCAGGCTAATGAGGCTTCCGCAGAAAATGTGGACAGCGCGGCGACAACGGTTGCTGGTTCGATCGATGACACATCTGCAGTCAGTGAATCAGTCCATTTGGAGTCTGACGGCGTTGTGCTAGAGGAGCCACCGGAAAGTGAAACAAAAGGACCAGACTATGATGCAGTTGGGGCTGCTGCAGTAGCCGACTTCGATGCAGATGATGATGAGGTGAATGAAGATGATGATACAGTCAATGTCATCATCAAACCGTCTAATAAGGGAGGCATCTATAAGACCGGGACAGCCTATCAAGCAAGATCCGTGGCTCATCCGTCACAGAGTGAGTTACACTTTGTATTCTGACTTTCTGGGATCATGGCAATGTATAGCTTTGGCCCCATGTGTAAACGTTTATTTCACAGAAAGAAGCAATGACCTAAAGATGTAAAAAAATTGCAAGGTGTGTTTCAGGAGTACCTGGGCGACATACGATTCATCCTGGATTCATTTGGGTAGAATGTTTGTCTACTTCCCCTAAAGTTTAAAGATAAGATGGATGAAGGGGTAAAGTGGGACCAGGGAGGAGTTTTTATCGCTGTAGCTTTTGGTGGACTCGTTCAGGGGTTCAGTGGGACAGCCACCATGTGACTGGTGCGTCGTTCAAGCACACCACATCGTTTGTTGACAGTTGAATAGCAAAGCAGTTTTCTGCAATATGGTCTCGAACGTTGAAGAAGGTTCAATTAATGTCTGCTGAGGTGTGTTGTAATGGGATGTATGTCACGGAATGAGTGTAGTTAATTGTGGAGGATTTTGCAGAAAGTAGTCGTTAATATTTAGCGCCCTTACAGTGCACAGCTGCCCTGAAGCTCGTGCTTTCAAGTTGTCCAAGCCTGAGGCAGTCGAAGTGCCGGGGTTGGGGTCCAGCCACGGATCTTCCGCGTGGAAGTTCCACTCATTAGACCGCTCAGCCTGAAGCCACAGAAACAAGTTAAGATATTCCAGTCATTTGTATCATTGGTTCGTCATCTGGAGTGCCAATTTAGGGTCCCATTGTTGTTGCTGTTTGAACTTTCGTTTGATTTTGATTCCCGAAGTGTTAGAGGCGAGTAAAGAAGAATATAAAAGCACATACTTAACGAAGTTGGGGAGAAAGGGCAACAGGACACAGTATTTTCACGCCACCACATGTGCTGAAATCAGGAGAGGATTTGCCGTAGAGAAACGTCCATGGTATGAGCCATATAGAACCGTATATAGAACGTCCGTCGCTAGTCACATTTTCTGACGAGCATCGGAGTAAGGAGCAGATTTGGTTCCTTGGTTTGTACACTCCATGCTTGTATCATTGAAGATGTTGGGTAAAAGGAGTGGTAGACCACAGTCTCCACCTACCAGCAACACCTCCGAACTTCCGTGGTTAAAAATCTGAAGACGCCTTACATCCGTCCACAGGGACCGCGCCTCATGACCATACAACAATACAGCACTTTCAGTGGCCCTCAGTGAACAGGGATATATCTTTTTGACGCCACAAATGGCGCCAAACGTGAACGTGGTTTGGTCCCTTGTGATCCATGCACTGACTATTCATACAAACACACACTACCGTTATATCTAATATGATTACCGGAGTATGTGCTTCTTGAATAGCACGGAACATGTTCCGAGACCGCGCGTTGTAAAGCATGACTTTCACTTTGTAGTTCGAAGACGCTTGCCGAAAGCTGGTGAAAATGGCTTGCGGTGGTCAGTTTACTCAACATTGTGTAGTCTTCGTTCTCGAATATGAGGACGTTGTCGTCCGCGTACTCCAGGTGGACAGTATTCTTACCAGAGACAATTTGAATATCGGAGTTTGAAAGACCTTCCAGCGCTCGCCTCATCACTCCGTTAATAACGAGGCATGTGAAATTAGGGACGAAATTATGCCCACAAACTTGTAGGGCATCTCTTATTTGAGAGCACTAGCCGATCAGCAAGATCGTATGCACCTTTGAAGTCAAGGGACCCCAAACTTGTGTGTCAGTTGTACGTGTGGCCTTACTCTACAACCTGACAGTGTGAAAACTCAGTCGACACAGTCTCTACGCCGCTGCAACCTCGCTTACTGATTACAGGTCAGAGGTTTCGTGACCCCCTTGATACGACGAAGAATTAGGAATGCCGGGAGCCTTGTTACAGCTGACATCTTTTGGTTACTGTGTTCACTGCGAGCACCCTTTCTGAAGATGGGCACCATTACCTACTCATTCCAGTTGTCTGGTACGGCCTCCTCCCGATAAACACACGCTGGCTTAATAGTTCACAGAGCAGGTGGAGGGTCTTCAGGACGAGGAACACGATGACACTGGAGTACGGAATATATTCGGAAGCTTCTTTGGCTGGAGTGGCTCTATATTCGTAGTTCAGGTTTCTGTCAAAGGCCGGCAGTCTGAAGTATTCTGTCAAACGGTTCACCATGCTGGATACGAGAGAGCCACCCTGATCCATAATGGCTTCACTGACAAGCGGCTTCCGAGTACTAGTCGGACGAATCACTTGGAACTATTTGCGGGTATTGCAACCTCTTCTGTTCCTTCAGCTTTTCATATCTACCAGGCTTTCTAGTCTGTGTGACACAGTTTTACATGGTTTCGGATAATGCGTCGAGTTTGGTTGTGATTGTGTCCGAAAGGAATCTGTCACCGGCCCTCCAACACTGTCACGGTCCTATCAGGGGTCCATTACGCGAACGAGGTTGTCGGTTAAAACTCCCAGCTTCGGTCATCTGTCCGCATTGATCGTTCGAATCTGGGATCGAGTCAGCAAACGGGCACTCGAGGAGCCGGTTCTGGTAAGTTTATTAGAATTCTGGGTCCACAAGGTTCTCAATGGCTAAGAAGGATATGCGCTTTGCGTGTCCTTGAAAAACGCAATGGAAAAAAGTAATAAGCAAGTGCATGGTTTTAGCCGATGCAGGTGATCTAGAAGGAGCGGCAGGCCATGATCGACCCTCGCCTCAAGTAACGGATGACAATGTGGTGTATTTGGGTTCGGGCTGGTCCGTTGTTGGGCACTTTGCACTCTGTTCTGGAAAATGGTACTGCGAAGGAACATTCCGTGATTGGCACACATCCGAAACAAACGTTTCGCCTCGTTTCCAGTTCAAGGCAGCACCCAGATTGGCTTGAGGAGTGCTCAACCTACCTATCTGGGCGTTCATGTCACCAACAAATACAATGACATTTGAGCCTTTAACCCATCATAAAAAAGCAACCAGAGGACCGTAGAAGCTGTCCGAGCTACAGTCCGTCGGGTTGTATACGGATACAATAAACTGAGAGCCATGAACCTCATCCTCGGCATTCTCTCACTTACGTTGCCAAATGGACCCCGCAGAGATCACTATCAACGGGTACTTATTCAGGTAGAGACGCTTCAGTTCGACCGCTCAACACAATACTCACCCCGGCATACCCAGCTGTAGCGGTCTCCGCGTCACCAGATGTGCGCAGCCACAAGCGGAAAGAGAGCCGGTGGTTCTTGCGTCTTGGATTCGTTCCTGTTTCAGAGTACATCATTGCAGAAGCCTAGCCTACGACCAACAACCGCCTGTTGTCTTGCTTGCTTCGGTTTGCGAACACCGAACACCTCTTTCGCTATATCGCGGACAGTTTTCGTCTGAGACAATTGTGCAAGAATTATGACAGGGATTTCAACATCCTGGCGACCCAGAATCCTAACCTGTCTTTTCTCGGGTGTTTCACGAACAACGGTCACACAACTTTTCAAACCGACTGTATCTGTCTGCAGCTGTAGCTGGTAGGAGCAGTGAATTGTTGGTCGTATCAGTGAACAGGAACTAGGAACCGTGGGAGATCATTCCATGCTATCGACGATGGAGGACCCAACCGTCTTACCCCTAAACCAAGAACCGGTCCTTCACGCACATCAAAACCCATGTTCTGTGATTCAGTATGCCTAAGTTAACCTTTGGTGGCAAGCCAGTGCAGTCGGAAGAAGACTTCTCAAGCGGTCTTACTAGGATATCCGTGATCACCATTCGGTGCGGTTCTATTTTTTACACCATGCAATCGCGCAAAAACAGGTTTTATGATAAAAAAATCTATACCTTTGTCCGACTTGGCACGATTGAGGCCCTTCTGTGAGCCTTTTCTTCTCGAAATACCCAGTAGGTCCATATAAATGACCGTGCTATATCGACTATAGCTGCAACTGTGGAAACCCCTCCTGTGATTCGTGCTTTAACCTATGTTGCTTCTGGTAGAGGCCAGTCCACCAAGCACTGTGCAACAAAAGTAGTGAGCCGGTGAAAAACAGCACGGAGAATAACCGAGGGATAGCATGCCTTGGTCAGCCACCTTACTACCTCGTTCACCAACCGAAGAAGATGTGGACACCAAATTGAAAGCCTTACGGCATCAACCACGAACATAAATGAGGTTGAACGTCTGAATTGTTTCCTAGCTACTCCGAAAATGGAGAAGTTCCTAGAGAGGCTTGTAAATATGGCGCCTGGAAGGTAAATCAGCTGTCGAACGGGTTAGATGTAAAGACACAACTTCGGACTCTGATCAGACAATTCAATCGGAACTTTTTGTTCCCAACGCATGTCCTTATTTGGTTACTTCGTAATACTTATACCACTTGTCCCTCAGTTCTGTTTTACGACTCAGCGCGCCACATAGCGGACTGAACAGCGGATCCCCAGGTAACACTCTGGTGTATTAACACTGGGAGCACAAAAAATTCCACACATTATCTACACCAACTTAGTTTTTTAAATTTCATTTTGTTAGCTTCTTGAACCGAAATAGTTAATTTACAGGGTATTTCATAACTATTTTGGCAATCTCACTGGTACGATTCACTTTTCAAATCAAGTTATTTGTGCGGTAGTTGGACTGAAACTGGTGCAGCACTGATGAGAAAAAATTGGTATTTTCAAAATACTTTGAAACTTCATAGCATATGGTCTAACTAAGCTTATTCATGAAGATCTCAAAAATGATGGGAGCTAATTTTATATTTTAGGATAAAAGGGCGAATACAGGTAGTTTTTGGATAATACAGACGAATTAAGGTACTTCTTGACCGTCTTTTAAAGTAACAGCGTGTGGAATCAACGAATGTCTACAATGCAATTAGGCTAGACCGAAACATGGAGATATGTTGCCACTGCCAGAATGCGTATAAAACCTAGCACTTGGAACGCGTTACGATTGCTGTACGGTTTTCAATCTAGTGGGATTCTAAACTTAGTCACGGACGATGTTCTGTCAGAGCAGTACACTTTTTCTGAATTGCAGTGTAGACAGCAACATTCCAACTACCACT